TGCCAGCCCCAGAGCAGAACAACTGCATTCTTTGTAATTGTCTTTCTGGGAAAATGAGTGCATTTGTAATCACGGATTACGTGTCTGTTGATTTAATAGGAGGAACAGGGAATGTTGTGCGATTAAGATTGCATCGTGTGATTAAAATCCAGCTACGCTAAAAGCTGGGTGTGCTGTGTCATGGTGCATAGGAACAGGCAGGCAGGCTCCAGCGGATGGCAAGGGAAGTGCACGCGTTTCCAGAGGTGCTGTGCATGGATAAGTGTCACCCAGGGCAGAGACAGGGTGGGAAAAGCAAGGCCCAGTTCTGCAGGCCTCATGTCAACAAGTTGCCCATTGGATTGGATCCTTCTGGATGGTGGTGTTGTCGGAGCCATCATTTCATGCTGCCTCTGTTGGTGGCAGAGTGGCTAAGGTGCCTGCTCCGGACCCCTGCCAGAGGCTGCTGTCAGTGGATCTAGCTATGTGCAGGCATGTGGCCATTTGGCGGTGTGGGGGCAAAGGTGTCTGGATGTGATGCCAGCTACATCACTCCCTTGTGTGCTGCTAGCTACAGACATGGGTGTGCCTGAACCATGGGCTGTTATGTTTGGGAGGACTTACATTTGCACTGGCTTGTGCTAGGCTGAGGTGTTTGCTTCATCGCTGTGCACTCCTTGCAACACTAGAATCCCCTGTGTGACACCACATCCCTTGCCGTGGAGAAGAAGTTGGCACTTGGCCTCCGACTCGAGTAGAGAGGCTCGGGCTTGATGAACACCTGATTCCTGCAACGATTAGCTAATGTGCTCGGAAGCTGTCTGGTTATTTGAGGTGACAGAGGAGAGAAGGGGTAAGATTCCCCTCCCTGGGGGGGAAGGCTTCTGGGCCTCGGTCCCGCAGCAGCGCAGTGAGCTCCCTTCAATATATAAGGAAGATCAGAGCGCAAGGAGCCGTCCAGTTCTGGTGGCTGGTGTCACAGGACGGGGTACCATCAAGTGATGCTCTCCTGGTGATGGGATGCAGCGTGAATACGAGACTGGGCATGGACAGAACAAGAGCTGCAAACAAACAGGGCCTTAGTCAACAGGTATCCCATGTCCTGCACTGCCCCCCTGATGCTGAAATACTTCGTAGGGAGCCGCTAGCTAGTAAGCAGCCCCTAACACATCCCCTTGGAGCATTCACTGAACCTGCTGTTACCAAACAGCCGGAGAGACGTGTCCTCATACGACACAGGTGACTCCAAACTGCGGCAAGTCCAGCCGGGTGGCTGGATAATTCAGTGACCGCAGATGGCATTCACTTGTACACAGAATGAGAGATGCCAGTCTCGGGTAATCAACTCTCCTGTTTCAAGGCCTCTGCTGACTGCCTGAGAGACAGGGAGGATTTTTTTTTTCTTCCCTTTCCCTCCCCCCAGACTATAGGCTGTGTTGTGCAACTGGCTAAATGCACTGTGGGAAAGTTTCCACTTCACTTCCTTCTGATGCATTCAAGATCAGCCGCTACCAGGAGGTAGAGACCAGATGAAACAGGCCACTGGCTCGACCCGGGAGGCCAAATCCAGCCTGTGCTCTTCTTGCCAATGTGACATTTCTTCGCAAGCTTTCTGCCCCTGGAGGCATTGGCAGGCTCCTATGGGGAGAGGCACTGAGCATGTAGCAGGCCAAGTCTTGGCAAGCGTGTGTCAGGATGCCTCTAAGTCACACAGGAGCCTCCAGCTCTTCCTCCCGGAGGGACCTGGTGCCTTCCTGCTGCCTGACAAGGACCTGAGCTCTCCTGTGTTGGGCACAGCAGCACCTCTGACCACAGCGCAGCCGGCAAGTTCGTATTACCAGGGTCGCCGTATGCCTTGCTTCCCGCAATCCTGCCAGGGTTTGTGTGTGAGAGAGAACCGTGTCCTGATGCTTCTTTCGAAGGACATGCACTGTATTGATGGCCCAATTCTGCATGCGCAGAACTCCTCCTGGGAGGTCCTGAGCCTTGCCATCAGTGCAAGCCCAGCTTCTCAGTACCTCCTAGGGTAAAGCCCTCTGTTATTTTCCAGCCAGCAAGCTAATTTCCTGCTGAAATTCCAGGCAGGTTTTTATCACTGATGTTCTTCACACAGAATGGCTTCAATGAGCCCTTGATGGGAGCTGCTAATGCTTCTCTGCAGCCTTTCACTGGTGTCAGGAGAGATTACAGGGGAAAACATTAACACCCTCGACTGACAAAGAAGCGCTCCCATCCTGTTCCAGGCTGTCAGCGCCTCAGTGGCCTTTATGCTGCTGCTGCATATCTTTGAAGAAGATCCTAACCCCCAAGGAAGGATCCTATTACCTGGCATGTCCAGAAAACAAGGGAAAATGGATATTTCCCCCCCCCAAAGGTAGCTGAGAAATGTGGAGCCTGGAATTGATTCATTCTGATATCACACCCGTAGCCTTTAATCGGCCTCAACGTGTGGCCCAATCATCCAGGTCCTGTGCCAAGGTTCGCAGCTGGGAATGAATGAGCAGACATTGAGGAGCTCATTGCTAGTCCCTTAAAATCCATTCAGCCAGGCCTGGAAGTCCTGGGAGAAATGGCACAGTTTATTAAGTACACCCCTGCATTGAAGGGCTTGGTTCCCGGGTGGCCTAGGTCACTGCAGCTCAGCCGGGGGTCTTGATTTATACTAGCTGAGAGCTGGGCTTGGAGCATGTGTAAAAACTTGGTTCTGGTTAGGTAGGGTAAATCCCATCCTGGAGATCTTGGCTAAGCCAAAACAATGTAATGGAGCTATGCAGCTGTACAAACTACACAGCAGAAACTGCAGTCAGGGCTCATGATATCTTTTATTAGATTGCCAAAGTTTTTGCAACAAAAAAAATCTTTAATTGCAGAATTATAATAATAATATAGACTATAATAATAATATAGACTATAATAATAATAATATAGAGTAATAGCACAAACTGTGTACACTTCTTTTACTTGCATGGAGATTTGGTTGCATGAATTTAAAATGAGCGTAGATCATAGGTAAGTGAGACTGGAAGAATTAATGTAAAAGAGGCACTGGGGGATTAAATGTTCCCATTGCATTTTAAAGCACTGTGTTAGCAATCACTTGTTCACTTCTTTCTTATCCTTTGCCATGGCTGGCTAACCTGACCACAAGGTGCTAGGCTGCCACGGTGCCCAAAGCAAGAACTGGAAGAGCTGAATCCACCCTTTCCCTTGCTAGGGACAACAACGCGATCTAATGCCCAGAGCGTGGGAGTGGCAGGTGGACCTCTAGTCTGGGACAGAAGTTTTATAAACCAGTTCGACTCAAATCAGTTAAATCTGATACTACATTCAACCAGGTTTACCTTAAACCTGTTTCAGCCATTTTGAAACTGGTCTACATGCACCGAACTTCTGTTCTGTTACAGGTTTAAACCCATTTCTGATCACTTAAACCGGTTTACGTGTAATGTCTGTCCCTAGTCCTGGATCCCAAACCTGGCTCTGCCCTTGGTCCACAGCAAGTCCCTAGATAGGTCTCAACCTCCCTCTGCCTCCATCTGCCCATTTGTGAAATGAAGATGATAATTCATTCATAATTCATAATTCAAAAGCTTCTGGGGCAGGGATTTTCTGTTCTGTGCATGGCCAGAGCCCAGCTCAGCGTAGTGATTCATGACAACCAAGGCTCCTAAAGCTACAGCATTTCAAACAGGGATGCTTTCCTACCTTAGAGGGGGGTTGTGAGGTTTGGAAAGTGGCCTGTGATCTTTGGTTCTTCGGCACAGCATCCTTATCAGGTTGATAAAAACCGTGGGAGCCCCTGAGAGCCGCTAGATGGTGCATTCGAGTAACTTTTCAGGCCAGGTCTGTTGAACTCCAGCCTTTTTGATTTACAGATGAAAAATGACACTAGGGAGCTGGGGCCTGACAGGCAACCTGCAGCTAAGCCATGCTCTGAATTTGTTTAGACTGCCTGGCTTCTTGCTGATTCAAATCTGATAGGGAAGGCCCCGAAGCGAAGGGAACCCAGCTGCAGAGGAACAAGGCTGCAGGGGTGCAAAGCTGATCTCTCAATCAATGCCCACATCTAGGCTCCATTTGTGATAAGTAAAAAGTAAGTGGGATTGCATGCGGGATGGAGCTTCCTGCTAAGAGCTGACACAGGACCAAGTGGGGACGGGGACCAGAGAGCCCCTGAGAGTGATATCCACCTAGATAAATGACATCCCCGATGCAGGCAAGGTGGCTCAGGGAACATTTCCAATTCATGGCAGGGCCCACTAGGGCAGGGGTGGGCAAAATGCTGCCTGGCCGCCAGGCCACTCTATCTGGCCTGCAGGGCCCCTAAAAATTTAGAGAATTAATATTAATCTGCCCTGGGCTGCCTGTCATGCAGCCCTTGATGGCTTGCCGAAACTCAGTAAGTGGCCCTCTGCCCAAAATAATTGCCTGCCCCTGCACTAGGGAGAACTGATGGGGCAGGAAAAGCAATTTGCACTCATTGTTCTTTAATTATGGCAAATTGTCTTACTTTTATCTTCCTGCAGGAGCCTAATTTACTGTTAATTAAGAGACAGTGTTTTCTAGCTGTTGGGAGAATCAAGGACAAGTTTTACTTCCTTGGTTTATTTGCTAATTGAACCCACTCCCATCCAGCTAGCCTCTACTTGCTATTTTTGCCGTAGTGCCCAGAGGGGAGAGGAATCCTGCAGTATTGACTGGAAGAGGCTGGTGTCGCCTTCCAGAAAGAAATGAGCCCGACCTGATGCCTTCCCCTCATCTTGATCTTAAATTTTTGCATCAGAGTCCCACCAGAGTTGGCAAACAGTGCCTGCGGTTTCATGGTGCAACTGCGGTCCTGGACACAGACCTGGGGGCATCAGAAATGTGGGTGCAGGTGGAGACTGATTAACCCATCTCCGCTTTGACATTTTCACTTGATAAATTCTTCTCTTGTTGGCAACAGACTCTCTGCGATGCTTCCTGGAGACAGGGTTGGATGCTGGTGGCACTCAAGTCAACTCTCTTTGTTTTCCAACAGGATGGCGGAAAGTGGGCGAGGAAAGGAGGCGGGGAGCGAGGATGTGGTGCTTGAATCGGATCACGTTGGCACCTCGCCCCTCTGGAGGGTAGGTCAATGTCCAACATTCAGCCTTGAGTTTCTCTGCAGTCAGGGAGCAACAGCCATGTGCACACCTAGCCGGAGGTGCAAGTGGCCTGAGAGTCCCAACTTGTTTCACACGATAGCAGATGATAGGGACTGCGCCTTCTACTGCCAAGAGTTGAAGTAGATGTCACAGGTCTGATAATGGCATGCCCCAGCCCCCAGAAAACTAGATGCATTGGTGTCCTTACTGGCTTCCTTAGCTCCTTGCCAAACAGCCAGAGTACACAAGGCAGTTGGACCGCATGGAGATGCCTTTCTGGGTCAAGGACTGTGGCTTCCAGCCCAGGAGGTAAATGAACAAAGCATTGTTCTGTCCCAGCGAGGATCACCTCCGGGGCACCGCTCAGCAAATAGCTCAGGTCCACTAGGCCCACTGCCCTGTGGAGGGAGACCTTGGCACAGGCTGTGCCCTGTGCATGGTTGGATGGCTGAGGACATCATGCGTGGGGCAGCGATACCCTCCTTAGGAAGAGGAGAGGCCCCAGGTGCAGTGGTGCGGCTGAGCTAGGGGCCTGCCGTGAATGCCAGGTACATGCTGTCATCTCATTGGGGATCTCTTATAACTTCTGCGTATGTCTGTGCGGTTGGGAGGAAACCGTTTGCACACAGGTAGGAGACTACTTTCGTGTATGTGGGAGCCTGGGGTAGACATGTCCTGCTCAAGCTTGTGGCTTTTATACTCAGTGTATGTATGTGTGGCGGGGTTGGTTTCTGCAGTGAAGGCCGAATTGCTTCTAGCTACCCGGCAAGCAACACTGGTGTGTCTGAGTCTGACAAAATCCTCTGCCACATCTTAGCCCCTAAGTGAAGGAGCAGCCGGGGTGACCTGTGCCCCTTTGCCAGCAGTAGACATTCTTGGTAGAGGCTGCTGGGGTGTGTGAGCATCAGTCCGTGCCTTGGTCCGATGCTATCCTACTTGCATGCAAAAAGACTCCAGCCACCAGAAAAAATTATTGATATACAAGCTGGATGTGACAGACTCTCCCAGCCTTGGGCCCAGGGACATCCTTCAGGCCTGGGCAAAGGACATTTGTGTAGAGCTTTCCACAGAAGTCTTTCTCCTTGGGTATCTTCCTTCCCTTCCTGCTGTGCTCCTAATGGCTCGCTGGTGAAGACACTAGCACACATTTTTCTCTCTTCCCTCTCTGCATCTCTCCTCCTTCTGTGAACCCCAGGGCCTTTGCTGAGCTGCGCAGCACAGAAGCAGTGACAGGGTGCAGGGAAGATTCAACATACTGCAAATTCAGATGCTCCAAGGACACTAGTGGTGCAGCCCTCGCGTGGCAATGGGTTTGTCCTTGGTGCCTTGGCACATTTCCTACATAGAGAAGCTCAGGCAGGATCAGCTGAATTTCTGCATGTGCCTGGGCTTGCGGCCCCCTGCCTTTTGCTGCTAGAGAGGAGGCAGATCTCCCTCCCGACTGCTCAGTGCAGGTTACACACCCACCTCCATGCGCAGGGCAAAAAAGATCCCATACAGCTCTCGGAAAGTCAGGTTCTTTAGTTAAATTCACAGACGTGCCTACTTCTAACTTTGGAGGGCCAGTGAGTCATTTTCTGGGGGCAGCCATCATACTGACCATCACCCAAAAGGAGACGATGGTTGTAGAGACAGTAGACAAGCCTCTTTGTTCTCCCCATTGCTGGGTGTGCCTGCTTGTCCTGGCAGACATGGGAACTCGCCCTCTGCAACATATAACCAGGCAATACACAGAGGGGATATTTATAGGGGAGAGCAGAGCATGTCCTCAGGCTGGGCAAGTCACCATGAAGAGTCTGTTATTCCCGGCCTGAAACACAGGGTCCTTTATGTGCCTCGAGCTCCCGGAGAGGTGGCAGTGCAGACGGGCTCCTGAGGGGTCTGAACAGGAGGCTGAAAGATGCCCCTTAGCTATGGGCTCAAACCCTGCTCAGGCTACTCCCACCCCCACATCAGGAGGAGGAATGTGGGGACCTTTTTAGTACCATCTTTACTTTTTCCTGAGCCTGCGGAAGGGCGTGTGCGCCCAAAAGCTTGCAGAAAAAGATATTTTTGTTTTGTGATTTCTTAGCTGGTCTAATAAAAGGCATTGCCTCTGAACCAAGAGCTCCAGACTTTTTGCATTTCTGAACTGCCGAATACATTCAGCGGCCGAGACAGGGATGCTATCATGAGATGTCACCAGATATATCCCCTTCCCTCTGGCTGGGAAACCAGGTGGGACAGCTCACAGTGACGGACTCTTTTCCGGGAGGTTTCCATCACCGCCTGCGCTGGAGGTCCAAGCCGCAGGGGGATGCTGATGTGATTGAATACATTCCCTCATCCCTGGGGGGATTGAGGAACATCCCCGGGAGGCCACGATGGCCATCAGCTGGGCCAAGGCACTTGGCGCTGACCCGGGAGCTGTCGGCCACGCTCCCATGACCGGAGCAGACGGACTGAACGGAGAGGGGGCCTGTATAGCACACTTCCCCAACGCGCCTGTGATGGGTTGCCCTGCACAGGTCACAGTCCCATCTTTCTTCCAGGCGATCAATGCTAGCATGAATAATAAAAAGGGGCTATTACTTACTCGGCCTCCTGTATTGATCCCCCTGCCATGCTGAGGGGCGTCACAACAGCCCAGAGGTCTCCTGCGAGCTGATATCCCTGAGTTTATTTATCCAAGGAGAGGATTTATTGATCAAGCAACTTAGAAGGGCTTTTTTTTTTCTTCTCTCCCCTATGTAGAGCCATAAAAAAGCTTTTCTGAAATTAAACTGGAGCTGGAGACATGCTCCGAGTGGGGAGGGGCTGGTGGCTGCTTGGCAGCCCATCTTAGCATTTCATTCCAGCTCGCAGTGAGGGGAATTTTAAAGCACTGGCACTCTCAAGGTTGCATCCAAGTGCTTTGCCTTGTGCACGAGGTGTCCGTCACCTTCGTTCTGGAAAGTGTGGGGTGGGGAGAGAGGTTTTGCATTTAAAAAACCCCACTGACCTCCTTACTGGGAAGTAAAGACAGGCTCAGCAGTCTCAGAAATCCTTGGGAAGGTTGCACCTCCTCATGCCCTGCCCCTTCTCCTTTCCAGCTAACATAGCCACACTTGACAAGACCGGGTCTCTTCCAGGGGTACGAGGTTGACTGGCTGAATGAAGGCTGTCTTGCAGTTAAGGTCAGGCAGAGTCTGTATCTGACTCCCAACCAGAGGCTAGGGTCTTATGCCCAACCCTAAATGCAGCAGCCTGCGTCTGGCTGTGACTAACCCCTGATACCCATACTACGGCCAAACTAGGTATGGGATGGAGTGAGATGCACAGAGTTCTCCATGGCCTGGTGTGTGTCTGGCCTATCGTCCACATTTGCTCCAGCCCCATTTCCTACTGCTGGCCACTGGGCCAATGCAGCAAGCTTTGGGAGGATCCCTCTCCCTGCTGCCGGCATGGCTGAAGGAAGAGGCACAGTGCCAGAACACCACTAATCCACACCTATCCAGATCTGGGTTTTAAATTCTCCTTGGCCATGACAGCATGACATGAGTGACAGCTGTCTCCAGGCTGCTCTAACATAGTGCCAAGGGCCCAGCCCCGTATAGAGCATCGCCAGAAACAGAGCCGCACTAAGGCAGACTCTTTACATAAGTACATCTGACTGACTTGCACTCTTTGCAATCTGGCCCTTCACTAGGGTCAGTGCCATGCAGACGTGTTTGCCAGTATCGTAGCCTGAGAGTGATGTTGGAGCTGTGATGGTCCAGAAATGATGCGAGATGCAAGGATTTCTTAGGGTGATATCTTTTTTATTGGGTTGATTGCATAGCTGAGATAACGTGCATAGTATTAGCATACAGGTGTACCTGGATCCCTTCCACCGGGTGGAATTTAACCACCAGGATAGTAAAAAACCCAGCTTGCTTAAAAAGTCATCAAACCATTTTCAAAGGTTGCAAAATTGCTCCCTGCACAGATGAAATGCAGCCAGCTCAGGCCGGGGACTGCACCAGCACCAAGTGACCTAAGGGGGAAGCGACTGTTTCAGAACCAGAGGTGGGTATAAACATTAGCCTGTGGGAGGTATGGATCATGCCAGTGATGGAAATAGGGCTATCAAAGGGCTGGGGGAGATTGCAGAAGTTGGGTTATGCTGAGATGGCAGAGAGAGCCGTTCGTCTTCGGAGCGGATAACGGTTGCCAGTGGAAACAGATGGCTTGTTCTTTTGTGTGCAAGCTTGAGTAATGCCTTGACATTTGTCATCTTCAGGCCTGCATTTTGGGGGGGTTTTTTTTGCTTGGCACTAATAAATCACCGTGCACCTGCAAAATGGAATCGAATGCGTTCGTGTCTCCCTAAGTTGCAGAATCATCGTTACTGCACGTGGGTTTCATTGAAAAGAACAAAATGTTCGCGCTGAACATCTCTCCCTGCCCTCTCCAGGGCACACTGGGATATGTTAGGCCTAGTGGGGGGGAGGCCCATTGAGGTCTCAGCCGAGACCACTCTGATTGAGGCCCTTCAGCCTGCAGACATCATGCCTATGAGTCACAGACACTTGCATGGGGCGTTTCATATTGAAGACAACGGGCCACATTCTGTCTTTATAAATAGCTTTTGCTATGCCTTGGAAAGGATCCACATTTCCTGCAGAAGCACAACTCACCTCCATCCCAACTCCTTGTTCCTGCGCACAGGGGGTATAAAACATTACCAGCTGTGCACTTTCTTTGCACTGGTGTGAATATTGCCATAAAATATCCAGCCATGGTGCCCTGATATTGGCTGCCCAGCAGCTCACAGCCTGTGTTTGCTAATGAATTCCCCAAACTCAGAAAGCTGCACCGTGGGTGGGTCTACATGAGACGCGCTTACTGTGCATTTGCCTAATAAGACTGCACAGTAGCGTGGCGGTTACGAACGTGCGAATAACCCAAATGCACAGTGTTATTAGGTTAATGCGCAATAAGCAATAATGTGCGCTACTGCGCAGTAACTCTAGTGCCTGCACATTTAGTTAGTACTTCATTAAGCAAGTACTAAACTAAATGTGCAGTAACTAAGGAGCATTAACGAATGTGTAAATGCGCCCCCTGTTCTTATGTTTGCACCAATGCTTTGCAGTGAGCCGCTTGTCCCTGTGGCTTTTGGGATGCCATTGCTGTGGCTAGGATGCCCGTATCAGAGGCTCTTTGCTTTATGCATCGTGCCACCTGCAAGTGAGTGGAGATGGAGAGCCTCTAGGAAATGCTGTCCCTCGTCAGCCCAGGGATGGCTTGTGAGAACCAGTGCCACTTCGCTGCCGGGAAACCGGAGAAGTTGCATTCAGTGTTTGGGAGTGGTAATCGCGGTGGCCCTTTCAGCTGCATGCGGAGGAAAGGGAAGATGAGAACACAAGGTTAACTCCAGTCAGTCAAACACCAGTGTCCTGGAGTGCCTCCATGAATAATTGATTGTTCTCTTTGGGATTCGGGTTTCCATGGAAACTGAAAGAGGAACCAGGATACCAAGGTATGAATTGAAGTTTCTTTGGGTCTCTGTCCACTCAGCAGCTAAGAGTTGGAGTTACCTTTGGCAGGTGCTTATATAATCAGACATTGACTTGGAGATGAATTGCCTTGATCTGAGGCTTCTGCTGCTCCTGCAGTTATGCTCTTTGATTGGTGAGTGTTTCGTACGTATATCTGGCTTTTGGTGGACTTTCATGTCAGGAGATCCTATAATAAGTCTTTAGTCGGCTGCCTGCGCACATCTGTAATGTAGAGAAGACGTATAATCGGTGTCCCTTTTTTTTTTAGAGCGTGCATCTCTGCACACATACAAATGTCTCACATTTGCCCTGTCTGCCACCTTCCAGATTTTATTCCATTTTTTATCCGATTCACTTGCAGTCTCGCTGATATTTCTTTTTCTTCCAGAACTGATAACATTATTTGCTTGAATTCATCAGCTTGCTAGGAAACTGGGGGATTTGCTTGTGGCTGTTGTTATCTATGTAGATGCATGGGAAGAAAATCAACCCCCCAGTTCACTACAAAGGCACAAACATTAGGGATGAGTCTGGTCCATTGTCTTAGCTCCATAATAGCTGTATCATGGGCAGGGTCTTTCAGGGTCCAGAGAAACAGACAGCGGACTGGGAGATTATGGCGCTGGCCATTTGCAGGTGTTCGGTGGTGAATGAAACATTGCGGTTAAAGCAGCGGACCAGGAATGAGGACTCCTGTGTTTTCTGCTCCTAGCTCTCCCGGGGAATCACCAGTCCCCCTTACTCTTTCCAGCTTCCCAAATTTTGCAAGGGGGATAATAATATTTCCAAGTCTGACGTGAAGCTTAATGGATGTTTTCAATTCATTTGGGGATCCTGCATTGAAAAGAGCTGTGGAAGGAGTAGAGAGGAGGAAATGCGCCGAAACAATCTCTATTATTTTGTGTGGATCTAGTGGAAATGTAAGCAGGGGAAGTTTGCTTCCTAAAAATGCCACAATTAAGTGAAGTTGTTACATACAAAAAGACCTTTTGGAAGCATGACGGCCTTCACCAGAGAATTAAACATGTTCCCCAGCTCTCAGGGACTAGCACTATGGCGGCACATGGGTTCCCACCAGAGGCTGTGAAAAGGGGTTGTGCTAGCAGGAAAACACGGGGCCATGCCTCAGCTCAGCAGCTCGGCAAGGGGCCAGATCCTGAGGTGCCTCCTAACCCGGGACCAGCTCCCTGAAACTGCAGTGGGGGGTACCTGCGTCAGGGATAGGAGCCTGATCGCGGACGGTGCTGGGGGAGCCTGAGCACCCTCAGATCCCAGTGATGTCCGTGGGAACTGTAGGTGCCCTGTAGGTTTCAGAAGCCCTTGGAGCCCTAAATTCATGCCCAAGCCCAACAAGGGCAATAATGCCCTCGAGCGCGCACTCGCCTCTTATGCAGGTGACCTGCTTGCAGCTGAAATCAGAAGATGCTAAAGATGATATTGCTGTTATTTAGCCAAGTTTGGAGCAAGGGGCCAAGAACAAGGAGCAGCGAGGTTCTGGCATGGCCTCTGGAAGGGTTAGTTAGTCACTAAGCAGCAGATCCCCAACACGCCGGCCTGGAGCAGTGTTTCCTGGTGTCCCAGCTGGGACTGAAGCTTCAGCAGCTTCTTTGGGCCGTGCCCGATTCACCAAGAGTCCCTCATAGCCCCAGTGCAGCATGTTGGCTTCATTGGCATGTCAGCAGGTCCCTCTGAGATGAATGAGTGCAGCTATTTGTGCATCTGTTGCTCCTATGGATGGGAGGTGGGATCTCTGTTTTGCATCCACCCTATGGTGGTACCATTGCCCCAGCAGGTATCACCTCTGTAAGGTCATCATCATCCACCTCGTTCCAGGGAGGGGAATGCAACAGAGCCCAAGGGCTAGGTCCTGCCTTTGTCCATGTCATTATGAGTGGGATCCATCTGGCAGTCACTGCAATGACCCACTGGCTCCCCATGGCAGGAGGTGCATAGCGCTGGAGCATCACTGGCCCAGGCAATGTGATGGAGAAAAACACCCTGGCTCCTTTAAAACATTTCCAGTTTACTAATCAAAGATCTTGACGATCCCTTGGGAGCTCCGGACTTCTCCGTGCCCAGAGCCAGCGTGCAGGTGCTCTGCACACGCAGCACATCTGAGCACAAGAAGCATTTATACAGGCCCTTGCTCTGGAAACAAAACAGCATAATGGCTGCTAATTAGAGGAACAGAATGAACCCGTTACAAGAAACATCCTTCTGTGCCACCAGGGTCAGCGTCTAACAAGACGGAGATGAATCATCCGTCTTGGAGGTGACTAGATTCATGCTCTGGTTTTCTCCGCTTGGCACCAAGCTATTTGTTAGCATGAGACTGAAAACTGGGCCTGATGGTCTTATCCCAGAGCCCAACGGCACACACAACAAAACCTCAGGTCCTCATTGCATATTGGGACTTGGGAGAGCAGGGCCAAGGCAGATGTGGAAGAGGAGAGCTGATCAGATCAGTCCCGGGGAGCAGAGCGTGTGAAGCAGGCACCAGCCTGAGTTGGGTTGATGCGAGTCTTCCCTTGCTCTGGTGAGCACTGGAGTGGATGCTGATGATTCAAATGCCTATTAGGAGCAATTCATTTTCATTTTGATCACTGCTCAGCAGTCTCTGGAGAAATCACAGCCTTGTAGCTTGGTAAATAATACAGGGACTCCCCTCTTGCTAATGCCAGCGAGAGGATGCTAAGAGAGTGGCAGATCAATGGCAATCCCTCCACGGGGATTTATCCACCCTCTTGATGCACACTTCTAACTCCTCCTGATGCTAATGACAATACATAAGCAGATCGGCAGGGACCTGGCACCTTTTCTGGGCTTTAAAGAGCCTCTCTGGTGTATAAAATAGTGTCTTCTCCTGTTCTCACTCAGCAACCCTAGCCGGGCCTCAGGTGTAACAGCAGCACCAGATATGGCAGCTGGGATTCAGAGACCCTTGCAGGTGACCACAGCCTCTGGAGGTGCAGGAGCTCATATTTCCCTTCCAATAAACCTCTCCTCTAGATTGAAGGCCAAGGCTACTTTGATCAGCCCAGAGGCAGGCGGTGCTACGTTGACCTCCGCACATGCAGAGAGGCCCGGCTGCCTGCCTTGGTGCATGACGGGCGACTGGGCTTGCCAGGTGTCTCCTCCTGACGGGCTCGCCTTCACTTACAGGGGGACAGCGCAAGCTCCAGCGCATCATCGGGGGTCACATTGTGGGGCCGCACTCTGCCAAGTACCTGGTGTCGCTGAAGAGGATGACGGGCTCCCACTTCTGTGGCGGGTCTCTGGTTAGTCGGAGCTGGGTCCTGACGGCTGCTCACTGCAAGACCGAGTAAGGAAGGCAAGAGCCAGGATGCCTACTTAACACCGGCTCTTTGCTGCGTGCAGTAAGACAGAAGCCCAGCCTCCCTGAGCTGGCTTCCCGGGTCACGGGGCACTGCACACCTAGGAGTCCTCTGAGCAAAGTGAGGATATGCAAGTAGCTAAATACAGACTCCTGGCTCAGCTTGGGTATTCACCTGCTTCTAGGTCTAGGTGCTGATGCCTATATTTAAGTGTATATTTGTGCTGATGCCTGTATTTAAAGCTGTCCCTATCCTGCATATACACCTAGACCCTACAGATGCACCCACTCATGCTTCCTACACACACATACCCATGACCTTATCTAGTGCAGGGACTTCCACTTCTGTGAGCACCCAGCAGTCTGGTGGCGTCTCTCGGCCTGACCACGCGGCCTTCCCAGACCATCGCACTAGGGCTACAGTTCAGCACGGCATTTTAAGCAAGTGCTTACGTCTCACCAATATCCATGTCCATGCTCAGCCCCAGACTCCCATGTGATCTTAAGCGCTTATCCCGGGTGCATCTACACATGCATTTTAATGTGCATTAGCCTATTTTAATGCGCATTACCATGTCACGAAAAAAGGGGCTCTTAAAATAGACTAATGCGCCTTTTTCTAGCGCCTCTCAATGGAGGTATTAAATTTAATGTGCATTACCAAAAGCATGTTCATGAACATGTAGACGTGCTCCCTGTGTCTCAAGTCCCCATTTAAATCACTGGGTTGTAAATCTATGCTTAATGGTAAGCATATGCTTATCAGCTTCCCTGAATAAGGACAGTTTCCTGACTTGGGGCTTTGCCAGGGTTTTTACAGTCTATGATACCGATGAACAGCACTGGAAATCCAAACCCTGCATTGGGAAGAAGCAACCGGCCGTGATCATACCAGAGGACAGGGAGGGGAGTCAGTCCCATTCTTCCAGTAAATCACTGAACATCCTGTCACTTCACTCTTGCTCTCCCCCTCCTCTCTGGGGATATAATACAATTTCACAGGTACCTACCAAAAGCAACTTCTGCCCACACACTCCCAGGTACATTCATGCCATCTGATGCACGTGCCAGGCAGATGTGTGGCACCGTCGACACGCAGCACTTCAGCTCTGATGCCAGGTGGGCTGAAGCAAAGGTGCAGCAAGAGAGAAGATCTTGTGCTGTCAATTCTGGAAGTGCTAGAAGCCTTTTTAAAGCCATTTGAGTCACCCAAGTAATCACAGTCTAAGTCAGATGTGAGAAGGGAGAGCTTTGCCCCAAAGGAAACTCCAATAACTTTGCCTTTCTTTGCCATATCCCTGTAGACTAAACCAGATGCTAATAGTTGCCGGTGAATATTCACTCTCCACTTTCGAAGGCACAGAACAGATTTTCCGGCCCTCCCAGATGGTGGTTCACCCTGACTACAGCTCCACTACCAAAAATGCAGACGTCATGTTGATTAAGGTACCAGGTCTTCCTCCGGGCCCTAAAGGAAGGAAAGCCGGCAGAAACAGGCTGTGGTCGCTTCAGGTTTCTGGGGGGCTCGTCTGGGCTTGAAGGAGTGCTTCGGTGATCATGTTATGAAGAGTTTGATGGGGGGAGCTAAGGGCAGACATCGGTCAGGCGGTCCAAGTAAAGAGGACCCAGAGAGTTGAACATGACTCTTTTTTTCACGATCAGTAATGACTCTTCCTCGATGTCTCCAAACAGCTGAACCGGCCAGTGGTCTATAACGCCTTTGTTTCCATTGTGCCACTTCCTCAGCAAGGCGCCACGGTGAAGGAAGGCCGCCTCTGCCAAGTCTCCGGCTGGGGGTACACCAGTCCCATCGGCGGGAGGACATCGGACACCCTACGCAGCGTGCGCCTCCCTATCGTCCCCTCCTGGAAATGCAACGCCACGTCCTCCTATGCAGGATTCATCACCGGCAACATGATTTGTGCCGGGCTCAGCACAGGGGGCAAAGACGCCTGCCAGGTACCTCTGCCCTGTTTATATTCTGCAGATGAAGCTGCAAATTCAAACCTAGAGGGGGAGACCCAAGGGCAAATCACCTGGGGATTGGCTATGTCCAAGCTACTGAGGGTGCTCGGTGGCAGGGTCCCATTTTGGAAAAACTCAGAGCCAGGTTAGGCACCCAAAAATCACTAGTATACCCATCTAATGGCCATGGTGCCAGCAAGCAGAGCACATCATAGTGGGGGACCGGGAGCAAAATGCTAGTGCAGATATAAAGCAAGCAGCTGCCATCAAGTCTCCAGAGAGTTAAAGCCTTGATCACACCTTCTTCTAACTGAAGATGACTCACCCTCGGAAATGAGGCGCAGAGGGTGGGAAGAGAAGGAGGATCTATTTTTATAACCAAAAGAACAGTATGGCAAGCGAAGGATGATCTAGTTTCTTCCTCTTCCTGGGTGAGACAATAGCAGCACAGTGAAGGTGTGCCTCCCAGCAGGGTCTGCCCCAAACATGATGCAGCTGCTGCCGGCTTTTGTTTTTCATTTATCCGGCCAGACCTAATCGCACTGATGCCATCCTGCAGCGCTGCTGTGCCCACCGCTCACAATGTAGGTCACTGTGAAACAATGCAGCGCTACATGGGGAAAAGGTGATGACCCAGATTGTGTTTCAGGGGCTGGACTGAATCTTTCTGGGTCCCACCATTGTCTCCAAGGGCTTAGGATCCCCTCAGTTTTGACAGATCTCCGCAGTGAGACACTCGCTGAACTCTGGGAGAGCCGATCTAATACAGCCAAAGCCACCAGGGAGAAGGGTCTGGTGCAGTTTCCATTGAGCTGGTTTTGAGGGTCAGGAGGGGAGAGATGTGCTGGAGCGTGACTCATGGGGCCAGATTCTTTGTTGGTGCAAATGGGCAAAACATCGCCGAAGTCCACAGAGCCCCGTGCATTCGCAACCAGGAGAGAAAACAGGCAGACCCGTCCCTCCCCACATTTCTCTATTGCTTGTTGTCCTTCTCGGACTTCCCTCCAGGCTGTCTTGGTCCTTTTGGGGCTCAGGTGCAGAAAGGGCTAGGCCCTATGGGTCAGATGATCCATTGTGCACGGTCATTTACACCAGGGGAAAGGGGGTTTCATAGCACCCAGCACCCACTTTGCTCTAGTGTACACAACTGCGCCAGATGCAGGGTCTTGGCCCTCCAAGATGCAGGGTCTCGGCCCTCCAAGATGCAGGGTCTCGGCCCTCCAAGATGCAAAGTCTCAGCCCTCCAAGAAGCAGGGTCTCAGCCCTCCAAGATGCAGGGTCTCAGCCCTCCAAAATGCAGGGTCTCGGCCCTCCAAGAAGCAGGGTCTCAGCCCTCCAAGGTCGTAGCCCGCCACAGGTCACAGCCCTCCAAGCCCTAGAGAAGACAGGTGCCCACTGCCATGAACGAACCCATCTGAGCAAGCTGTCACCTTTATTGCATGCTTTCCTTTGGCAGGGGGACTCTGGTGGGCCACTGGTGTGCGAGGGCCGAGTGTTCGGGATTGTGTCCTGGGGGCACAGCTGTGCCAGCCCGCGGTATCCAGGTGTCTACACAGCTGTAGCCAACTTCCAGAAGTGGATCTACAAAACCATCTTCAGACACCAGTAACGGCAGCTCTGGGCCCCCTTCCCCTACCACCGCATGACATTGAACCAATAAAATGGTGGCGAGGAAGAAACAAAAACTGCTCCAACGCTCTGCCGTGTTTATTTGGGAGTCTCTTGAGGCGAGACCTCAGGAAACCTCCTTAACATTGGCGTGGAGCGGAGAGGAGGTGGTGTTTTTGAAGCAGCCGCTCTCCTGCGAGGCATCTGCGTGCCTTGCAGCCTGCGTCAGGTACACGGCTTTCTGCCTTTGATGGAAACAGAATAACTCCACAGGTTTGGAAAAAGCTCGGGCCAATTATTATGAAACATGCGGAGGCTGAAATTTGCTTAAAAACCAGAAGGAATTTGCAGGAGCAGGATTAATAGAACCAATTTTAACTTAATTAAAAGCCAACAGAGAGGTGGGGGGGCGGGGGGAGAAAAGGAAAACAACACACAGTAGAAAACCCACTGAACAGATCAAACGCTGGGGGAGCGGAAAGGAGACATCTCCCCGCACAAAATGTTCCCAGTATCAAACTAAGCTCAAAGTCACTTCCCCCCTCAGCCCTCGCTGAATTGTGCGCTGTCCTTGCAGGCCGGCTGTGCCGGGAGCCTCGCTGTGATTAATCACTAGTTTTTATTGTATCTGTTCTCCAGTCAGGCATCATTAGAAAGACCTGGTGGCAAGGAGCATCTTTCCTTTGGAAACATGTGTAAGACCATGGCCATGGGGGGCTCCAAAGCTCACACTGAAGTCAATGGCCGAAGACCCTCTCCCATCAGCCTTCTGGGTTCGGGTCCCAAGCCCCTGGATCCATGTCCTGTTGTGGTCCCATCTCATCCCTGGGCTTCCCTGCCCTGGCCCTGGCCCTCTGCTTGTTGCCTCTTCGTGGAAATGAGTCCTCTTAGTCCCACTGCTGGAAGCCATCTGGAACGGTAATGTTTAAGCAAGCTGCAACCCGGGGTGCCTCTGGCCTTGCACTTTCACCCTTTGAGATCCCGGGAGAGTTGAGAGCTCGTGCTTGGGCATTGCAAGGGCTCTATGTCTTAGCAATTCCTCTTAGCACAAAAGATATTCAGAGCTACATGAAAACTTGTCCACCCATCCCTGCTTCCCGTTTGGAGCACCCTCTGGACTCAGCTCAGAGTCCTCTAACGGGTCTAGCATCCTTCTCCCTGGAGCCCATGGCTTCCCCTTCAAATCATGGGGTCTTCCTCTCCTCTTCCACCCAAAGCTTCTTCTGCATTTCTATGGCTCCTCCATGTTGGTGATCCCTTCCCCCAGTGCCTGGCTCCTTCGTCCTCCTTTAATGGGCCTTCCACTTCTCCAAGCACAAGCTTGGTCACAACAGGTTTCCCAGCCTGGCACCTTCCTGCACGTAGCCCGCTGCCCCGAGATGTTCTTCCCGAATGGAAAGTTGGTTAAACTGGATCAGAGTAAGGCTGCTTTCGTTCCGATCCATACTTTGCATGATTTCACTAGTCCACTTTAGAAGTGAATGTGAATGCGTTTGCCTGAGCAGACACCCCGCTTGTGCGAGCGAAGGCAGCTCGACTCAAATAGGTCATTCTCAGAAATTCAAAGGTCTTCTTAAGAGGTGTAGGACCAGTTTTCCCAGCTTACAACCAACTCAGTCCCTGATTGCAATGGGACTGCATGGGATGTGGGGCGGGAAGGGGGCCCTGGCTGCCAACCAGCTACTGAGGCTTCCTGACAGTGTTGTGTGAAGCACCCAAGGAGCAAGCAGATGAAAGCTTGCTCAGCCATTTGCAACTCAGGGTGGGGGGACAAGGTTAAGGAGAGATGCAATGCTGCGCAGTCTTTGGGCACAAACTGTGGCCTGTAGTGTATGGTCCTGACAAGGAGGCAAAGCCAGTCAGGGGCTCTCTGCAATGACCTGTGACAGGTGAACAACTCCTTCCACTTTAGGCCTTGGAAAGGGAACCAGCGATGAACTCAGGGAACTGGCTGTGAAGCACAGGGGAGCTCAGGTTAGAGAGGAAAAGACTGCTAGGGAACCTGAGCTCAGCCAAGCTGCAGGTAGGAGAAATGGGGAAGGG